CGCTGAAGTGAGATACCCGCAAAGTCACCACTCGTCGCATACGCGTCGTGAGCCGCCGATAGGTACTCGAACCTGCGGGGGTGGGGAGACGGAGGCCTGTGCACGCGCCATACATGCGCAGCTCCGGCAACGCGCCAGGCCGGGGACAATTCGATATCGTCCTCGAGGATCACCACACGCGTGAACTCCTCGCCAAAGAGTCCCGGATCCGAGCACGCCAGCCACATCCCTCGCACGCCACGCTGCTCACGCGATGGGAACACGCGAGCCTCTCCGCGGTCCCACCGGGTTCCCGCCCAAATCCGCGCCAGCGCAATCACGGCCCGCCGTTGTTTCCGCTCGTCCGCACTGGCGCTCCGACCAAAAAGCCAGCCCCCCGATCGAGCCACTTGATCAACGTGAATTTCCACGTCTATTTTCGCCGTCTCCGGGTACGACGCAGCCTCCAGCGACGAAAGAAGGCGTGAGAGGGACTCGGTCCGTTTCTGAGCCAGCACTTTGACTGTCAACTGTCTTAACTCAGCGGCCAATCCCACGGGCAACAAAGCGAAAAAAAAGAAACTTCTATGCGAATTTAAAGAGAAACGAATGAAGCGCATGGTAACTGCCCGATCAGTTTTGCATCAACCGGAGACTTTGGGCTACGTGTGGGAGCTGCGAGCTCGGGAAAAAATTTCCGTCCACTAACCTGAGCACAGAAGGCACGTCGCAATGGTATTACATCAGGGCAATGTAAGTGATGATAATACAAGCTAACATTCTACTCAGGTAGATCCCCTCTTTTAGGTTCGCCCCAAGGACGGAAACAACCATAGGGCTAGAGCGCCCCATCGAAGTTTTTTAGAGAGACAGAGAGCTTTGTACCTTCCTAGTGGCTCGCTGGTACAGAGCCACTCAGGTCCTTCCCTTTTCCCTTAATACTTTCTAACCCTGCTATAGTTGCGTCCCGCACTGTATTCCAAAATACAGAAGAGCACCATGGAAAGATGTCCATTCTGGTCGAGTGGATTATGGCAGGTACATGATTCGATCTCTGCACCTACATAATACAATTACAGCAATATTTGCGCTACTCAAATACTACAGAGGTGAGGGAAGCAGTCTCACCTCCACTAACCTTCAATTTGAGACTATGGCGAATCTTGCTCGAGACTCTAATTCAGGCTATGGCCTACTTTACCACTGAACCTGGCCCGTCTGCAATCCGTCTGCGGAAGATCCCTGACGGTCCGTATAGGGCGAGCACTCTCTTTTTATTTGGTCGTCGCGCGGCGCTAGCAGCCGATGCGAGGCCGCACATGACTCGCTTCGGAAACGGAAACGTCGAGCTGAGCCTTCTTGGATGCGCGGCACTCAGAGGCCAGCTTGGTAGCATTGCAGTGGTGGTCGATGATGACTTTCGACATGGTGAACTTGTGGCTCTTGCAGCCTGTGCCAAAAAAACAGTGAGCCAGAAAAACCGAATTTTTCTCAATCCCCCAGCCCCGGTCGACCCGAAAATCATTTTGTCGAAAAGGAGATAACAATCAGTCAGTAATCGGTG